CCTCCTCCTCCTCCTCCTCCTCCTCCTCCTCTTCCTTCCTCCTCCATTCTCCCTTCACCCCCCAGGGAAGCGGGAGAGGAGAAGGAAAAGGAGATCTCCCGGTGGCTTCTCGGGCCATTCCTGGGGACCTATTGCCTGGTGGCCTCGCAGGTCCCTCGGGCCTCCTCGGGGCTTCCCGGGAGATCTCCGGGGGGCCTTTTGGGAACCTCCCAGGGCCCGGAGGCCGTCTCGGGAACCCTTCGGGGCTGTCCTGGGGCGCGGGGCCATCCTGGAGGCCTGGACTTGGGCCGTGCTGGGCCCTCCCGGAGCCATCCGGGAGGCCCCTGCACGGCGGGCTGGCCTCTCCAGCCGCCGGGCGGCCCAAAAGCCAGCGCGGGGTGGGCCCCAGGGCGGCCCAAGACGCCGCCGAGGCGGCCACGCACGGCCGGGGGCAGGGCGCGACGAGAGCTGAGCAGAGCTTGGGCGAGGCGCCCAGGCCGCGCTTCAGGGTCGGCCCCACATGGCCCCAAGTCGAGCAGCGGCGAAGCGTCCTGGCTCGCCTACAGCCCCAGCAAGCAATGTTCTAAGAACCTTTTTGTGGTCTGCGCGACATGTGCTCAGAACATTTCTGGCCGGGACTGTCTTGGTTCATAAGAGCACCGTTGTTGTTCTTCGAACTTTTTGGGGTTCTACTAAGAACATTTCGTGGTAGGACTAAGTATTGGAATGCCGGGACGGTCGGTCCCTGCTCAAGTAAGGCGCCGCTCAGAGGGCCCCTGACTTTGAAATATAGGGTTCAGGGGTAAGTGGTTGTAGCAAGCATGGCGACCATCCTGCCGGCGTCTGGCTCAAGGCGGGAATTCCGTGACACGTCCAGGCGGGTATTCCGTGACATCACGAAGCCCCCAGTGCGACGAGCGTCATATCAATTGTCATTGCAAGTCAGATTTGGAGCAGCCAGGCTAGCGGGAATGAATTTTGGAACGGCGTTCCAAAATCGGCTTGCCACGTTGCGGCCTGGCGTTGGTGTAGGCGCCGGCGTTGGCCCACCTGAAGCCAGCGTAGGCGCAGGCGTCGGTGCTGGCGTTGGTGCTGGAACGGGTGCATGGGTCGGTGCTGGTGCAGCCGCTGGCGTCGATGCTGGCGTCGATGCCGTAGGCGCCGGCGCTGGTGCCGTCGTCGAAGCTGGCGTCGATACGACACCTAGCCTGGTGTAGGCGCTGACGTTGGTGCTGGCGCAATCGCAGGCGTTGATAGCAGCGTCGGTGATGGCGTTGGCGCTGACCTAGACGCTGGCGTCGGTCCTGGTGTCGGTGCTGGCGTCGGTGCTGGCGTCGGTGATGGTGTAGGCGCTGGCGCTGGTGCTGTCGTAGGCGCCGGCGTTGGTGCTGGCGTCGATGTAGGCGTCAGTGCTGGTGAAGGGCCTGGCGCTGGTGTCCGCGGAGGCGCAGGCGTTGGCGCTGGCGGCACCGGCGTCGGTGCTGGCGTCGGTGCTGGCGTCGGCGCTGGTGTAGGCGCTGGCGTTGGTGCTGGCGCATTCTCAGGCATTGATGGCAGCGTCGGTGATGGCGTCGGCGATGGCGTGTTGCCGCTTTTGCGGGCCGTAATTCGTGACATTTTCGTTGTGTGTGTGTGTGTCTGGGCGTCGGCGCTGGCGTAGGCTTTGGCGTTGGTGCTGTCGTAGGCGCCGGCGTGGCTGCTGGCGTCGGTGCTGGCGTCGGCGGTGATGTAGGCGCCAGCGTTGGTGCGGGCGTCGGTTCTGCCGTCGGCGCTGGTGTGGGCGTCGGCGCTGGTGCTCGCGAAAGAAGAAGCATTGGTGCTGGCAAGAAGAAGCGGTGGTGCTGGCGTCGTTGTTGCCGTCGGCGATGGCGTGGCTGGTCATTGATACCGTCGTGCTGCTCATGGTAACCGGCGTGCTGCGCGGGGGAGGAATCGAAGAACTGGCCGTAAAGTTGTCACTCTGAGACACCAAGTCAATCTGCGAACCACGATGTCGACCAAGAGTAGCGAAAATATAAAGCCGAACATGAGGACCAAGACGCTGTCGCCACGCTGGTCGATTCTGTGCCACACGATGCCGTCAGTTCCAGCCGTGCGCCGCATCGTAGATGCGCTCCGCACGGGGGTGCCCCCGAACCATCTCCCTGCAAGCCTGTCGCAATGCCTCGCCGGCGGCTGGGCCAGGTGCGAGCTGCCCGTGGCGGCACAGGCAGTGAGGAGTGCGATAAGCTGCTGCCGCGCGGATGGCCACTCGGACAGTCAGGGCAGGGTCGTCGCCGTCGCGGAAGTCCAAGCCCACGAACGCAGCCAAACGGCTATCCGGTGTATCGGCCCGCGGTAGATTGAGCAGCGTGCCCGTCACTGCGTGCAAGCATGAACAGCTGGAGTAATGTTCAATGGAATCGGGGGCCGTCGCTGTGCATCGGAACATGCAGCCGCCGACGCCATGCCGACCTTGCGTGCGTCGGGAGGTGGCCCATCCATTCCAGAGGGTTCGCCACATCGCCGCCCAAACTCTGGGAGGAGCGCGCCCGCGTAGAGCCGTCAAGAGCGCAAGGCTGTGCGCCACTCGAGCCCGGGGCAACTGAGGTACCCGCCACCTTTCAAGCTTGTGGCGAACCCGCATCTCAAGGTCCCGAACAGTTGCCCTGGGTAGCAGGGAGGCGGCCACGCGCTGGAATGAGGTCTTGATGAGGATCGTCTGGGCTGGGGTTTAAGGTCGCTGTGGGGCAGTCCCGTCCCGCGCCCGCAAGATGGCATGTTCCACTGTCTGCGGGGTGACGCCGTGTCCTCGGAAACGGTCTCCAGGAAACCTACGGCGAGCCATGCGTGACACCGACCACATCGGGTTAGCAGGGCGCTGGGCGGATTGGTTCGGTAGGGCATTTTTATTGCAATTGGACGGTGCGGCCGACCGTTTCCGAGGACAGACACTCCTCGCCGAAAAAAAAATGCACACGTCCGAGCGATGCTAAGCAAAAACCATGACGGGAGGCCCTTCCGTATTGTCGGCCCCTCGAGGCCCTCACTGGCCCTGGGACCGTCAACGAAACGACTCGGGACGAGAAGGACCTGTCCTGGGGACCGGGTCGAAACCTCTGAGGGTCGACGCTACGAAAAACCATGGCGTCGGGGGTCTGGGGAGAGCGCCTCAAGCCCAACAGGTCGCCCCACCAAGCAAGCAGGGAGCTCTCTGGGGCCGCTCGGAGCCAGAGATGCAGCGTCGGGCCGTCGGGCGCTTGCCTCGGCGCCCGTGGGCCCGAGAGAGAGAGAGAGAGAACACAACACATCGACAAGACGAGCGGCCTGCGCGCCCGTCCCCAAACACACGGTAGGGGCCCGATCACAAGAAACTTTCCACAAGCAGCCCAACCATGGAACCCGAGGACGTCCACTGATTTTTGGCGTGGGAACGCTACGCCCTCCATGGCAAAACCATCGAAGCCCAAGAAACCCAGGGCACCCCGCAGGCAAGCAGGGTGTTTCTTGGCATGGGCCCCCACTGTAGGTGCGCCGATGGTCGATGAACAGCTTCTTAGAACGATGGAGGAGAACGCCTCGACAGGGTATCTTGGACGATCGCAAGGGGACCTGCTAGTCCTGAGATGGTTCGCGCGGCCCCCTCGCGAGGTCGGACTGCTCCGCCAAGAAGCTCTGGTCGATCAGTAGCCTCGGGTCTCTGAAGCGGGGTCGGGGATGGGCACCGCCTGCAGCTCCCTGCCGACCTCAGCTCCGGGGCGAGGGGCTGCTCCAGACCCAGCAGTGCGAGGCGGAGGATTGATTCATATCCGCCGCCTGGGAACCGACGTCCTGGCGCCCCAGCGGGCGGCGGATGTGGATATATATATATATAATATATATTATATATATATATATATATTATAATATATATATATCTATATATATGTTGGCCCCTGGGGACCCGGACGTATCCATGTCCACCGCCTGCGGAGGTCCGCGAAGATCGATCCCACGGGCGGCACTCATGGATGAATCCCCGCCTCGGAAGCAATGTGGCAAAACTGTCACTAACTGAAGGTGCCACAGGACACACAAATAAATAGACACAAATAACAGGATCCCCCATAGTTTCTCACATTTTCGGGGTCCCCACTCCCCATATTTCCTACTTTCTGGGGAATCGGCGATTCATTGTGTCTGTGTGTTTTCTCCCTCCTGACTATCGCTGGCTCGAGGGACACGGGTCCTGAGAGGACACGGGTCCTGGACCCTGGGCGGGGCCCTCGCCCAGAGCCCAACATTTGCTCCTGCACTGCTTCTTCCAGCGGCCCCGGGGCCCGTGAAGGCGGGCCCCGGGGGCCCGACAGCGGCCGCAAGCCTCCTGGACCGGCATATTCCCGACGGAACTCGTTTCGAGAGTGCGCATCCATTATTCGTGAAGGTGCTGAAGAGGAATCAGTTGCCGGAACGCGCGAATTCCTCATTGCAAAGCATACAGACCATTGAAGAACTCAGCGGGAGGTCGGGATCGGCGCATTTCCTATGGAACTCTTTGTGGACAAACAAATCAACTATGCAACCATGATGCGGGACGCCGTGTGCGCCATGGCGACAAACGACAGTCAAACCGTGGAAGGAGGACGGGTGGTAAGGACGCAAGACCCTTGGAGGCCGAAGTTGGGGATTTTGGGGCGGCGGGCGGGCAGTGAAAGCGGCTAGGGACAGGCCGCAGAGGCAAGGACACAAGGGTACCCTAGATGAAGGCGCGCGTCCATACTAGGCGCGTGGACTGTACCTCCCGCGGCGTCAATTCGTAGTCGTGGGGTCGCCGGGGGCCACGAGAAAAAGGGCGCGTCTCCTGCTCTTGCTGTCTAGCATGCCGCGCAGCTCCGCGCACTCCTTCTCCAGCGTCTGCACCTCCACCGGCAGGGAGGGCACGGACGCACGCTCGAGTCTCATGCGCGCACTGGCCATCGCTCGGACGTCCATTTCCTTTTTTTGGTCAGCTTCGTGCGTGGATTTTTCACCAAACGATCAAGGATGCTCCTCGATGGTCCTCGCCGAGAAAAAAATGCACACGTCCGAGCGATGCCAAGCGCGCGCTCCTCGGTCGCGCTCCACCTCCGACTCCTCTCGTGGCGGGCGGGAGGGGAGGGCAAGAGAGGAGAGGGGTCCGCGACAAAGCTCCCGCAGCCGGCCTTCCCCCCGAGCCTCCCGGCGCCAGGTGGCGCCGCTGTGTCGAGAGAAGGCGCCTGCGGCAGATTTTTCGTAGCCTGGCCTCTCCCTATCCGGTGCGTTCCCCCCTAATCCTGTCCCTCCCCTCGCGCTGCCCCTGATCAAGATTCTCTTTCTCCTTTTCCTCCTCCTGCTCCTCCTCCTCCTCCTCCTCCTCCTCCTCCTTTTCCTGCTCCTGCTCCTCCTGCTCCTCCTGCTCCTGCTCCTGCTCCTCCTCCTCCTCTCCTCCTCCTCCTCCTCCTCCTCCTCCTCCTCCTCCTCCTCCTCCCTCCTCCCTCCCTCCTCCTCCTCCTCCCTCCCCCTCCTCCTCCTCCTCCTCCTCCTCCTCCTCCTCCTCCTTCTCCTCTTTTTTGGTGTGGGAGCGTCACGCGTTCCATGGCAAAACCATCGAAACCCAGCAATCCCAGGGCACCCTGGAGGCAAGCAGGGTGCTTCTTGGCATGGGTCTCCACTGCAGCCCCCCGTCCCAGAACCTCTGGCGCACGTCAACTCCGAGCAAGAGAGCTGGCCGATGCGCCAGGGGGGCACCGCGTCCGTGGGTGGACGGAGCGGTGCTCCTGTGCGGCGTGCCCCACGTCGGGCCACCTGACCTTGAAGGCTCTCCGCCGCCGCGAGGGCGGCACACGGGCCGTCGAGCGTCTTGGATCTGGAACGCCGGCGCCCGCGATGTGCCGTCCTGCCGGAAACGGGATTGGCACGGATCTGCCAGGGATCACTCCCGCACTCGAAGAGGACCCCATGGGCCCTTCCAGAAAAGCACACCGTGCCGTCGCCGACGCGCTAATCAGAACAATGAGACCATACCCCCATGAGTCCAGGCTCCAGAGCACGAAACTTCACGTCACATTTGTGAGATACTCGAAGCCCCCCCCCCCCCGCACGTGTCCACCATGTGATCGCCGTCGGCATAGGCATCGAGACCACGACGACACCGGCCCCCACCCGTACGAGCCCACCGTCCTGACCGGTTTCCAGAGCTGCGCCCAGCCGTGGCCACACGCGAGGGGGCGCCCATCGGTCGGAAGAAGGTAGGTAGAAACAGGAGGTAGGAAGGCATGGGAAGTAGATCTGGCCTCTGCCCGCCCCCTGAGGAGGAGGGAGGAGGGGAAGCCTCTCGATCGTTGAAGTAGGAAGGCGCTCAAAGTAGACTGGAATATGGGAATCCAAAAATCCAAAAGTAGATTGGACGCTTAAACTAAAAGGGGAATCCAAGAATAGCTACTTTCAACGACGGATGGGTACCCCCACAAGCCACGGGAACGCCAGAGACTCTATCCCAAGGCCCCGCCGCCGCGTCGACGCGGCGCGAACCTGCCATGCCTCTGCGGCGCTTCTGGGGCGACGAGGCCTATACATACCTGATTATGCGACCACCCTGCGGGTGATAAGGAGGTTGGGGGGAGAGGGGCCCAGCAATGGGCAACAGTGGTGATTGTTGTTCTGGCGACGCACCGCCATCGTAACTCATTTTTCCTTGTTCTTTCGAGCTCGCGGCCGGTCCGACACCTTGGCGGACTTAGAGTCTAACGTTTTCGACTTGCTGGACGACCTCGGCTCGGTCACCACGGACTCCTTCGTTGAGAGTTTCCTTGAAAGGTATGCCGACGACTATCCAGAAGTACTCGACTTTGCCCCGACGTATCACATCCCCTTCCGAGTTGTAGTGAATCAGGTGATATACGCAATGCTGCACGAAGGCATTGTTCAGGAGTCGCACGGCATTCTGACAATGTCTTGTTAGGTTGCAGGCTGTGCTCTACGTGCACTTCTTGTCGCGGCCTCACGCTTCTGAGGCTGTTCCGCGGTGGGCCCGATGCGTACGCCGAGGACGTCATCAGTGGCGTGCATCCCACCGCGGGCTGGCGGGCCCGATGCGTCCGCCGAGGACGTCATCAGCGGCGGGCATCCCGCTAGCGCACGGCAGGCCCGATGCGGTTGCCGAGGGGCTGGGCCCCCGTGCAAGCATCCTGCTGTGCACCCTGTAGCATTGCTAATTTCACGTTGTGGCCGTTGCAGATTATGCAGCCTCTGTGCGCGTCACTAGTGACGATTCATACAGTGGCTTTCTTTGACAGACTGCACATGCCAGGCTGTGCGGCCTGCGCGACCAGTGCTGCCATGGCTTTCACGTCATCGCTGACGGGCAGAGGGCTCACTTGCTGTCCCACGCTTTTCTCCTCCCCATGAGCCCCGATTCTGTTTAAGAAACCCATCATCATCACCATCATCATCATCATCGTCGTCGTCATCATCATCACCGTCATCATCGGGACACCGACGGGAAAACGGCGGGACACCGGATCTCACTATCGATCTCATTCGATCGATCGCACGATCGATCTCAATATCGATCTCACAATCGATCTCTCATTCGGTCCCACTATCGATCTCACTATCGATCTCACAATCGATCTCACAATCGACGTCATCATCATCAACAACATCAACATCAACAACATCATCATCAGCATCACCATCATCATCAACGTCATCATCATCACCACCATCATCATCACCATCATCACCATCATCACCATCATCACCATCATCACCATCATCATCACCATCATCACCATCATCACCATCATCACAATCATCACCATCATCATCATCGACATGATCATCACCATCATCACCATCATCACCATCATCATCATAACAATCATCATCATCATCATCATCATCATCCTCATCATCCTCATCATCCTCATCATCCTCATCATCCTCATCATCCTCATCATCATCATCATCATCATCATCATCATCATCATCATCATCATCATCATCATCATCATCATCATCATCATCATCATCATCATCATCATCATCATCATCATCATCATCATCATCATCATCATCATCATCATTATCGTCGTCGTCGTCGTCGTCGTCGTCGTCGTCGTCGTCATCATCAGTTCCGTCATCATCGGGACACCGACGGGACACCGGCGGGACACCGGCGGGACACCGCGGGCCACCGGACGCCGGAAGGGAGTCATTTGGTCCGGCCGCGCCTCAGCCACAGCGGGACACCGGCGGGAAACCGCGGGCCACCGGACGCCGGAAGGGAGTCATTTGGTCCGGCCGCGCCTCAGCCACAGGAGACTTTCCTCTCGCCCGCCCACGCAGCTTCGCCTCGCCCGCACGCACGGCACGCGCGAACACGAAACCGAGACCGATTTCCTGGTAGGGGGGCTCTCCGTTCCACTTCGATCTCACCCTCCAAAACCTCCGATCCACCACCCCTGGCCGGGCCCATCGTGCGCTGAAGAGTGGTGCATACGCCGCCCCTGGCTTAGCCAGGGGGAGCACATAATTCGAGGCGGGGGTACACTTACATCCGCCGCGTGGGAACACGACGAACTAGGACACCAGCGGGAGTTGGGTATGGATATGGATACGGATATGGACATGGATTTATACGCATCTATATATATAGATATGTATGTATTGACTATAACATACATAGTCTGGCCCCATGCTCCGAATCTATCCACATCCACCGCCTGCCGAAGTCCAGGAAGATCGTTCCGTGAGGCGGTGGTTATGGACAGATCCCCGCCTCGGATCTGCGGTTGCCGTCGAACAGATACGCAGCGTGCAACCTCGACCTCCGAGAAGCACGCGATCCCTGTGAGGCGATCCCCCCTGCGAGGGTTCTGTGTTACGCCACTCCCCTGCCAGGGCCCCTCCGGCGCACGCGGCATCCCAAGGGCGAGGCACAGCGTGCACGGAGCGGGCCAGCGGCGCCACACCGCACGGCATCCCTCCCAACGCCGACCGTACGCCCATCCCGAGCCAACGGGGGGCCTGGCCAAAGGCGCGGTGGACGTGTGGCCGATGTCGCAAACCCTGGATCAAAGCATGCGGACCGTTCCCTTGTCACACCTCCCGCCGGCCTTCCGCCGGCGGAGCCGCCCCCCGCTCTGCCTCCGACGCCCAAGGGTCCAACGACGTTGCCTCGCAGGGGGTCGGGGGGAGGACACGGCTGTCTGGCGATTGCCCTCGGAGCTCGAACTCCTCGGGCTCACACCTCGGCTCTGCTGTGTCGAGGGTGCCTCAGCTCAGCTCAGCACAGCCGAGCTCACAGCCAGGGACGAGACGTCGACCTCGGACCCCCTCGCAGGCGAGGGCCTCCAAAGTCGTCTCGATGTCTGTGTCGGTGCGGGGCCCTCGAAACTCCGGGCCCCCTCCCAGGGGACGGGCTGTTCGTCCCGGGCTATCGCTGGACGGTCCAGGGGCACTGCGGGCGCTGCCAGACGCGGCAAACGCTCGACAGCGCTCCGTGATGATTGCGGGCAAGCTTTCTATCCATATCCAGTGCGTCTTGGACTTTCTCGGAGGGGGTGCCCCAAGGCCGAGGCGCACTGGGTATGGCTACAAATGGACCCTCCAGGGGGGCAAGTTTGTCCATATCCAGTGCGCCTCGGGCTTCTGGGGAAGGGAGCCCGGCACTCCATGCATGTAGATATGGACAGAAGTAAGGAGGAGGAGGAGGAGGAGGAGGAGGAGGAGGAGGAGGAGGAGGAGGAGGAGGAGGAGGAGGAGGAGGAGGAGAGGGAGGGAGGAGGAGGAGGAGGAGGCGGAGGAAGAGGAGGAGGAGGAGGAGGAGGCAGTGGATATGGACAGAAGTTCGTATTGCCCGCATTGGCTGTCATGGAGGTCTGGGGCCCTCCCTGGAG